GTTTATAAGCTAAGATTTCTATGAGAGCGCACATTTATCAGAACCTTTTGCCATCAACATTGTCCACCAGATCTTTTTATTTCGTTGATCAGCACCAACTCCGACCTAAAAGAAAAATGATACCAAATGTGTACGAAAAGTATTGCATGCAAGTTAAAATATCAAACGACCATGTAATTGGGTGTGAGTACCTGATTATACTTGGGATTGAGAATGCTGGCACGGTGCTTGGGCGATTTCATCCATTGATTGATAGTGTTCTGGGCAGAGCGGTCAGCATTCAAGGCAATATTTTCAGCAGCTGCACCATTCCAAGGATATTTGTTTCTGAGTATACGATTCTGTTTATGCATAGAAACACTTCGATCGTTATGAGATTGTTATCAGCAATAGTTAGGGATATGTATACGTACTTTTAAGTCTCTATTACTGCCGTGAATCAGTTTTTTCTTCTTGCTCATCCACTTGGAATGTTGTAATGCTGCTGCATTAAGCTTCTTGGAGAGACATAATGGTTGAAGTCGATAATTTCGTCGTACTAGTTCAATGAGGGAAAAAAATGGAGACAAAACAATATATCGAATCGATCATGAAATATCTATAGAACTCATGAGAACACTCTATACGTACTTCGGTTGAGAGCTTTGATGAAGTCCCGATGAATCTGACTGAGCTCGACCGCTGTTAATGTTAGGATAAGACATAGAAAGATGATTCGAACTAGCGACATGTTCTATTGCACTATTAGCTAGAGTAATGAGATATGATAAATGAGGGCTAGAAAAAAAATCTAAAAAGTGAAGTCAGAAAAATAGAAGATGTCTTGTTCCCAAAGAAATGTTATTTCAATGGATAATATAGACAATAAGGTACATGTTTCGTTATTGAACATATCATACAAATATTTCCAGTGAAATTTAATATTTCATGCACAATGTCTTCTCGATAAAATCAGGTCAATGGCTAGATTTTTTTGGTTCTTTCGTTGTGTCATCCAAACATGTTAAAAATTGAGACATGACTGTTGACGAGATATTTTCATTGACAGTTGGAATGATTTCAAGAAAATCGAAATTCAAATCGTATCAAAACTTGATAAAAATGCAGCGAAAAGCATCACAGTGGCAGAACAATGGTTATCATTCATAGCTCTTTCAGTCTGATCGTTGCCAAAAGGTTTAATAAATAATTTTGAACTTCGAAAAAAAATTGTCGATGGTTTGATTTTCATTGAAGGATATCTCCTAGAAATTATGTAAATTTACTTATAGTCTATACAGTCGAACATGAAGTACTATGAATTTACCTTATCTTAGTTGAGAAAAGAACCCAGTTGCATGATTCTTTATTGGAAAATTCTTCATCACGTCGTAGCGCTGTGCTGTTGCACGTTGCTATAAGTTTTATCAATGCATCGAACAAACAAATGTCTCTGTCCTGGTTGCCTTCTCTTCTAGATACTGAAGGCATCTAATACAGACATTTAAGATTAAATCGAGGAAAGGTTATCGAAAGCAATCATTGCTTCCAAGTTGCCATACACACATCGTTCCTCTTTAGATCAACGTATCATTTTTCCTCGACCTATGCTATTCTTGTTTTATCTTAGTAGACAATTATTATTTGCTGCTTTTAATGTTGCTTCCTCACATTTTAACTGTAAGGTTTTTTTGATTCCGTTTGAGAAAGGTGGCATTAAGTGTTTGAAAATAATTTTATCTTTTTCTTTATTAATTAAATAACAATATATAATATGATGATTTATTAGACAAATGTAAAATACGTAATTCAATAATTTATTAATTAAATAGACTTACAATGTAATAATTGACGTTCCCAACGTCAAATGTTCTTCTATAGAGTGAAAAAATTGTATCTAAAATAATATAAACATCGAATTCTTTAACGTTCTTTTTTTCTTTCATTGGACTCCATTTAATACTGGTATGAACAAGACGATAAAAACTGATACGTGAAACTTTAACTTTCTTCATCTGTACCAGTATTAAATGAAATCTTGAGTGTGAAGTGAAGATGATCATCGTTATCTTCGCTCTCACTCTAACTACCACCCCCTCAAGAGTGGATTCAGTCGAGGATCAAGCGAGTCGTGGTGATGAGCGCTACTTGTTCAATAAGGCATTGCCTGATTTAAATGAAAGAATCGATAAAACTGCTTTGAAATGAAATTTGGTGGATAATGATTTAATAATAATGACATCTTAACACAGATACGTTTTGAATTAAAATCATCTACATCGAAGCAGAGATGTGCTGCCCGTAATAGGGCAGCATATAGAATATCACGATGTAGATGATCTGAGGGTGTGGGTGTTATTGATGTGTACGTTTTCTATTCACACCCACACTCCACATCCTCACCTAGACCTAGACCCACACCCTTTATCACGATGAGAAGTGCAAGTTTCGAGATTTCCGAAATTTTCAAAAGTTTGTACGAGACTTTAAAAGATCGCAAAGATTTCACAAGGCTTTATGAAATTTCACAAGACTTCGTAAGACACCGAACATCAAAAGATGCTTCATGAGATTGTTATAGGCTTCAGCTTAACGATAAACCTCAAAAATTTGCAGTCATCATTCTAAGGTTGTCTGTTGATCGAGTCGATCAGTTCTTATTAGAGAACTGTTCAACAATATCATATCTTAAAACAGAGCTGTTCAATCAAATCAGTTTCTATCGAAAACACTTTTCAGCAGCTTCTCAGATTGGAAATAAAACCGAACTGTCGTACTCCTAGTTGACTTTTAACAACTAATGTGTACCGTATTTTTGCATTATTTCACGAAGACTTTATCTGTTCGAGATCACAAATGTTTAAAAGATAGAGATCACGTCTGCTACACACGCATCAAATTTAATCGATGCAAGCATTCTTTATGAAAATGTCATTGCTCAAATACTACTAGACATATCCAAATGCGATGACGCATGCTTGTGATATCTTGGCGTTATCTGTACATAGTGTTTAATCATAGCATGATTTTTTTCTTGAATATGGGTCTTTCTAAGGTAAGCCTTCTTATACATAGACGTGAAGAAAAGAGTCGAGTCAATTAAAATGAAGCATACTTAAAACTAACAAACACGGCGAAAAATAGGATTTCAATTTGGAGCCATGTGAGTTTATAGTGTACTAAAGTAGTCGAGTTGGCATACTATTTTCCAATATGTCAACACGTCTATTCCCTTATTATAAGCGACAGTGACCACTCGTGAAGCTTTTTTTTTGAGCTATTTTTTTCTTTGTAAACTAACCCTTTACTCGGTAAGGGTGTGCATGTGGGTATTGGTAGGTGTGGGGCACAGTGGACAGCCAAGCGACAAAATGGATTTTTGAGATTCGAACCCATATCATAGTCAACATTGAGGCTAATGTGGTCCTGCATTGAAGTGCACTCTGCATGCCGCTCTTTAGCTAGTATGTAGTAAATAGCAGGTACCACAACGTACGTAAAATAGCTGAATACCATGAATAGTACAGATACATATAATGTTTGTTTTAAAAATAAAGACCTAGTGATATCTGTTAGTTATTATGTAGTTATACAGTGTTATGTATTTACTATATATTACAGACCGTTTGAACTTCTTGCAATTCTTTAGGTTATAATAAGATCAAAAACTTGCCATGATTATAGTGAAAAATAGTCACTGACCCATAGTACAGTTCTTTTACCGGATTTCACCAGACTTTAAATTCAAGTTCTAATTCATCGTTTGATGGAACATGTCCTGATCTATCTTCAGTAGATGCACAAAGGTGCACCATTGAACCTTTGTCGAGATATTTGATTTTTACGGCATTTGGTAGCATAACACCGCGATCTCCCAAATTCACTTAACAAATCAACTTTTGAATTTCCATTTGAAACTTGTCATAGAAAAGGTCTTAATGAGACTAGTGAATTCCGAAACTTTCACATTTGTTGATTGCTTCTATCCTTAAATATCAACATTTCCCATTTTATGCTATAAGCGATTTGAAAAAGAATACTTTTTCTTATACTCGTATCTCGCGATAGAAGGAACCTAAAAATTCAAAACTTTTAAAATAAATTAGTCTCATCGAGACCTTTCGCTGAGCAAAGTTTCAAGTTGAAATTCGAAAACTGATTTTGCAGGTAAACTTGAGGGAGGCCATGGCTTATTACTAAAAAATGCCATAAAAATTAAATATCTTGACAGAAATAAGCTACAAGCACGATCTCTTTCCAGGATGTTCATATCTCATTAGAGCCTACATAATGCACCTAGTCTTGATTCGAATACGATTGAGCAACTGCAAATTACTCCTGGTCCACTTTTCAGCCCACTGTGTGGAAGTGGGTGTGAATGTCTGGTATAAGGCAAGATCCACACTCACATTCATATCCTTACACCCACACCCTACACTAGGGCGTCTTTATTCATTATTGCATAGGGTGATTCTAACGTAAGCGTAACAGTACTGAAATACTATCGAACAATCAACCGGTCTGTGTGTTAGTATTATCGAGAGTGAAGGATCACAATCGAATACAGATGCTTCTTAAGCGTCTGGTCACTACGCGACCATAAATCTCGCTTTTCACAGCACAAAAATCAGTTATAAATAATATGGTCGAATAAATGTTTATTCTCATCTAGATCTTTACAACTAAAGCATTGTTGGTATCTTGAACCGAGTTGGCATCAGTTCAAATTTTCTCATTGTAGCGCAGTGCTTTCGATAGATTCCTCATTTCTACAGACATGTGCTCATCTTCATAAATTTCATCCAGCATTTCGAGTAATATTTTTTGAATTCAACAAATGAATATTAAATATAAATTTTATTATATCGATCAACCTATTCATCTAGCTAATAAATACTTTTTTGCACATGAATGATTCTTGAATTAGAAAAGTATCATCATGTGTTTGATTTCTCCGCAAACTGAATTTTGAAAGAAAAATTGACAACAAAATTCTTTTCAACAAACTAAACCTTTCAAAGTTATAACTTTGATATGTTGTTGTTATTATTCATCACTAAAATATTATTTTTGCTAATATCTTCGATAGTTTGACATCCACACAGCATCATAGCCGTTTGAAATTCGTTTTTCAATATTTGCAACACATTGTTCACACCTTTTTCCCCATCGACTGCTAAACCCCATAAAATTGGTCTTCCTACCATCACAGCTTTGGCTCCCAGAGCCACGGCTTTTAAAATATCTGTTCCTCGTCGAACACCACCATCAACATAAACATCTATTTCATAATTTTTTTCTTCATCTCTTACGACTCGTATGATATCAGACAGAGCTTCAATCGTCGATTGACTGGTATCCAACTGTCGTCCACCATGATTTGATACGACGATACCTTGAACTCCATGTCGTACAGCTTGACGTGCATCATCAGGATGTAGAATTCCTTTAATAATCAATGGAAGCTGTGTAATTGATCGAAACCATTCCAGATCTTTCCATGATAAAGATGAATCATAAGGTCGATTAAAAAGTTCATCATCATCATCACCAGTATCATCGATCAGATTTTCAGCACGAATACCATCAGGCAAGGCAAAATCATTATGTATATCACATTCACGATTACCTAAAAAATGACTCCTGAAGAATGGGAAAATATCCTTCTACTGTCTCCTATATTGACAGGAATTGAATGGGATAGTAGAGAGTAACAGGCAATTCATGAATAATGTTCTGAGTATTGTAGAAGTATTGGAGAATGGCTCGTCGGTGAGTATAAGCGACTGAGGTTGAGTATAGAGAGATTTTTTTTTATAGAGAAGCGTGTGAAATCTCATAAAAGGATATCTCACTAATGACTCAGAGTGAGGGTTGAGAAAATTTAGAGGTACAGGGGAAAAGTCCAAAGTAAAAAACCTAATATTGTATAGAGGGTTGCCCGTTCGTTACAATGTCGTAAGAATACTATAGTGAAGCTATCATTAATGAACTAATCTAATATAGCTTAATAGCTATAGAAAACTAAATTGTGCCTTCCTGAGATTTTCTTGAAAGCCTGATGAATGGTTCTTTTCAAATAGTGCCAGAACATCAGAGCAATAGGCAATGAAGAACTTGTTGTTTCTCTTTTGATGTTTCTTAATCGTAGATCATAGTTATACTTCCAAAATGACCCACGATGCCTAAACACTCAGTTTCGATATTTTTTTATTCATTTCCTGTGTGGTCCGACTCAACCCCATTCAGTCACTTATTACTCCATGTTAGCTCAATTTATCTTTAACAAAAAGACGTAAATACTCACTTGACCTATAAAAAATACATTGGATTCTGTGGTAGTGGAGGGAGGTGGAGGTGTGCATTTCCAGTATCGTTTCTTTCTTCATCTCATTTAGTTTTTCGTGTGCAATGAAGTTTAAGTGTCCGTCGTCCTATTATCCACATAAACATTTTTTCTCGACAGTACATTACCTAATACGCACATATCAACTGTAATTACAATTGCTTTGTAGCCACAACGTTCAGCTCGTTGAATTAACTGTTGTGTTCGTCGTCGATCTGGAAATACATATAGTTGATACCAAAGTTGTGAATGACTTTGAGGATAATGTTCTTTAATTTGGCGTTGGTGTTCTTCAGCTATTGATTCCATACTAGTTGATGCAGCTGTTGAAACACACATAATCGTTGAATGAGCGACAGCTGCACGAACTGTAGCTAATTCACCATGTTCGCGATTAGCTAAATGATGTAATGCTGTTGGAGCAATGATACATGGAAATGAAATTGTTACAGAAGAATTTAAAAGTTTTGTATGACGATTCACTGAACTCAATGCTGCATGAGAAGAAACGTCAACAAAAATTTTAGGACGTAGTTTGATACGACGATAAGCTAGTTGATTATCGACTAATGTAACTTGATCGTCCGAGCCTGTACAATAAAAATCATAAATCATTTGCGGTAGGATTTGCTTTGCACGTAGATGATAATCTTCAATGTTCAATAATAGTCGAACTTTTTTGTTTTCTTCCATGGTAGTGTCAGTTTTGTCAACTTGCATGACTATGTTTTGTTGTTTCGAAATCTGAAAAGAGAAAAAAACAGTTAATGCTCGATTGTTTACTTTACTAAACTTTTCTCTTCGTCTATGACGTTGATACATGCTTGGGCAACGATATATATACATATATCTACGAAAATAGAGTAGAGTAGAAAAAAAATTGACAGCAAAATGATTATCCAACTGAGCTATGCTAGTCTGGGAAGTTCCATTAGGTTTGGAGATGATTCATGAATCGATTGACATGATCCCATAGATATACTCCTATTTAAACGTTCGCCTCTGATCAGTATTCAATTTTTAGCATCTAATAACTGTAATATGATTCAGAATTACATTGTGATCAAACAATATTAATTTTGACTCTAACAATATAATTATCTCTTACTATCTATGTAGCATTGATTACAAAAACTAAACACATTGCTTGAACACGATACATTTGTAGTCAGGAAGTTTTCACTCTGATTAAACGTGTTTCCATAACATTAGTCATTCCACAGATTCAGTCCAAAGAGATGGTCAGCTTTCTGATTTACAGTCTCATAATTCGACATGCCTGATGTGAAATGCGTCCACATGATAAATTTGATGTCCGCTGCAACGGCAAGTTTGTGGCATTTTTTAGTAATCGAATGTCAGAACACTAATGAAAACTTGTCCTCTGATCTTCCTCATCTGAGTTATTCATCAGATCACGCGCTCGCAAAACACATCTGCGACACACCTAATTCGGCAATCGAGTCGGTATTAAAAAATTTGCTGGCGTATCATGATTTATGGGATTGTAGCCGTTGAAGAAAACTAGAGTTGGAGAATTCTGCCTCGAAGGATCGAGTTTGCCTGGATTTAGCGGTTAATAATGATTCAAGTGTTGTTAAAATAGAAAAGTGAAATAACAATCATGTGAATTGAAAGAATCGAGAATAAAGTTTCCACGTTGCATTGGCTGCCATAAGCACAAACGACCAAATGTTTATGATACACACAGCACCGTTAGTGGATCCATAATGTTGAATAGCATTGTTGTTATCTGTAGAGAAGCATGATGTAGAAAAGACAGATAAATAGGAGCATATAAAGAAATATCACAATGAAAACAAAAACAAAACGACGTATGGCACTACTGAAAACTGCACTATTCATTCGATGTCTGTTTCGAGGTTTTTTCATTTCGTCTCCTAGGTCGAAGAATCCCAAGTTCGAATCCGATAATTGGGAACTATCGGATACTCTCGGAACCCTATGGAAACTGTTGCATTTACATCTGAACGTTAGATATCATTTGATTCCTCTCCTTCTACTTTCTCTCTCAACCAGATGAGCTGCATATTAAAATTTAAGTTTTTATTTGATGTCAAATAAACCATGAAATAAAAAATTTTAATAAAACAGAAAACATCAAAGTCAAATAAATAAAATCAAACAACAAAATTACAACAAAATATAGAAAAAAATTTAAACTAAATAAACACAATAAAAAATTATAGTAAAATAGCAAGGAATAAAATAAAATAACTAAAATAAAAAAAATTTCAATAGAATGGAAAAAATTAAAACAAAGTACAATAAAATTTAAAAAATTAATGATTCTTACTTACTGCTTTTACAGTTTATGCCTTAATATAATCTGAAATAAAATGAAATAAAATAAAAAACTAAAATAGAAATAAGCACTCCTTTATTTATTCATCACATCTATTCATTGATTGGTGTAATTTACAACTATCGTACACCGTGTGAGTGAGGTCACTGTAATTCAAGTGAAGAAGAGCCGATTGAAACTAAAGTACAATAAAAATAAAATAAAAGTAAAGGAACAAAATTATCATAAAATAAACTATTTATTGACACCATTATACCATGGGGTTTCGTCAGATCTGATAAGCTTCCATTGACGGATTTGGTCTTTGCCAAAACTCACACCCAGACCTACTCTCTTATTCTCTCTCCATCTCTCTCATATACTCATCTACACTATTATCACAAGCATTGACAAGATTTGTTGGCTTCGACAATGATATCAAATAGCATCTTGTATTTGGTTTGGAAGAACCTGTTAAACAGAATTCACAACGAACGAAATAGTGAACATTGGTTTTGTAGATGTTTTAGTGGAGAACTAGAGTTTCTAGTTGAGTATATGATTTGCGTTTTTATTTTGTTGACGGTTTTTTTATTTGGTAACGACAATAAATTCATGTAGTTTTCGAAATGACTTGCTTTAGTTAAAAACTATCACGTTAGTTTTTGTTATTGGAAGCATAAAGACATTCGAGTAGCTATTTCGAGTTAGGCTACGTGTGTTACTTTAGTTATAATATATAGTGGATGTTCCTGTTAGAAATTACTTTTTCGTGTCAGTGAACGTTTGTTGAAAGTATTTCAATCAACACAGAAGGTATTACTCTATGTTTGTCGAGTGTTGTAAGTAGTATTCGACAATGTAGCTGATAATTTATTTGTCCGAGTTCGAACAATTAATAATGTAGATATCCAGTTGGAATGTTACGTGATATGGGTTGGACTGTGGCAGGATTACTATGCATTTATTGGGATTACAAAGACATGGCATTCTGTTGTCTTGACTGGCATGATTACTGTTTGAATGATTTATGAAAATAAATAGTGTCACTGTGAGAAAATGTTCTCTTAAAGTTAGTTGACCTCAAAGAAGACATATTGTTTGCCATTCGAATTAATTGCAAAATACTCTGAATTCATTATGTAATTGAATTCATCTTATTCAAACTTGATATATTTAAATTGAGTAGTTATTTTCAATGAGAATGGGTTTCATTTTTGGATTAGCGAGGCATGTACTTCTATAAAATCGGTATCTTTTCGTAGGTATTATAGTCAAAGTCATTCGTCAAAAGAAATCAAGCATTGTTGAGTTCGTGTCATAGACCAATTTATTGTTATTTTATTTGCCATAGGTAGCTTCTCTTGTATTACAGCTGACTAAATCAATTCAACTCATGACTTCGATTGATTCGATTGAACAAACAACAGTACTTTAGACCTGTCAATTCAATTGAAATAATAAATAGACTGTTCATTTTGATGATGTTGTGAATGCACAAACGACTATTTGAGAAAAATCAAGTAATATGATTAGTGTTACTATACTTTACTACATTATTAATTAAAGATGTCTAAACCATGATTGTGTTTCTGTATTTTGCATTTTGATTTACATAATGTTATTAACATTTTTTTTTCTATCACTGCTTAGTGTGGATGTAAAGTGTGGACTCATCTTATCTTAGTGCACATCCACCCTAAAATTTAAATAAATTATTAAGATCAAATTAAATTAAATTTTATTTTATTTAAAATAAAATAAAATGGAAGACATCAATTAAGTCATGTCAAGAATAAAGATAAAGATACAGCTTTGTACAAAAAATAAAATTAAAACTACATAGACATTAAAGATCTGAAAAGAAAAGTTACTATGAGTATATTTTCAGATACTGGACTCCGAGTAATAGACGTTTGACATAGAGTTAGATTGGTTCTGTGAACAACCATAATCTTGATACGTCGTTCGATAAGGATTGTATGGTCCGTAGCTTTGCCAACATTCTATAAATATCGATCAGAAGTGTTTTTATGATTGAAGAAACAGATACTTACGTTTCTTGATCGATGGTTGATATGAATGACTTGATCATTGATCATTTGAAGATGTACCACTGTTGGACACTGATTATTGTGGAGTGAGATAGGTCGTTACCATCTCGTGAGGAACAGTGAGTTCTTGATGAATAACTTGACCATTTGGTCCGATTTCGATGTATCTTGGTAATTAACCATTTTGATTATAACTAATGCCCATGATCGATCGTTTATTCAATAGAGTGAAGTTAAAATCTACAAATTGAAGTAAAAGCTCCTTTTTTTAAAGAGAACCTTTAGAATATGAAAAGAGATCCATAGTCGTTGTTGAATGTCTATTCTTTGACTCACCAATCCTACTCACAGTTATATAATCTGATGAATATTAAAACAATGAAGAAATTGATCAATGCTTATGTAAACAGCACCGTAACAGCAAAACCACTTTCTCCATCCCTATTTATATGGAATGCTACATTCAATGGGTGTATGATTTGCTTGAAGAGGCAAGAATATTCAAGATTGTCATAGAATGATCGAGAATAATCGAACAAAACATATGTGGTGATAGGTCATTTTTTTGCTTTTCTCTTCGTCCGTTCCGTGACGACGTAAATAGGTAACAGAAATAATATTAAACGTTTCTTTGAATATTCGAGACTCGAAACAAGCCAACATGGTTAACAATTGTTACCGATTGGTAGATAATTCTTTTTTTCTTTCTTTCTCTAAGTCGTGTTTATAACAATGACACGAGAAAAAAAAACCGATCAGATTCATCACTAACACGGTCGATTTAGTGTCTTTAATTGAGATTGATGTTTGATCGATTGCAACCACGCTCCATTTTACTCTATGTTGACAACAGACAAAACCACTTACACGTGTTAGAATTGACCTCTTTCGACAAGATAAAGATCAAATGAGCACTGGTACGAATCATATTCGTGGGTTTCTTTGCATAAGGAGCGTAATATCTGTGTCGCATTAGCCGAGTTTCAATAGATTTTATTGATTCGCACAAATTAATTGCGCCGAATATCTATTTTATTGGCAAATCACGGAAAAATGTTTATAGCAATAGATTTCAATTGGGCGTACATTATTTGGAAGCCATAATTTTTCTGCGAAAAAAGTTTTACAATCTGCAATGGAACGACAATGAGGTTGAGAGCAGCGTTGTTAAGCTTGAAGACATTATCAATCGATAGATCTTCACAGTTTCCATTCATGAAATCCCACACCTAAGGGTGAGAATAAGCCTGTATGAG